ACCATATCTTGATCACCTGCTGATTTTCGTCTTTCTTTCGAACCCTGTGGGCTTAAACCCGGTAATTTATGTGGACCTAAAGAATAACGCCCAATACTGTTATTGGACATAGATCCTAATGGACTACTAGATTTGTCACTGGATCTCACACTCATTAATTCAGCTTTCATTTTTTCTACCCTTTCCAATTCTTCAGTTGATGGGCCTTCAGCTTTTGACTTATCTTCATCCTATACAGATAAAAAATGTATTAAATAATTTATATTTTATGTAATATATGAAATTATATTTTGCAAATGTATAATACAGACTTGTGGTTTAACAACGTATTGTCCTTTTGTTGCAGATCGTATATCAAGAGAATGTTCAAATTCTCTTGTAATGGATTCAATAGTACTTGCTGGACTTGGTAATGGCGAAGCGGATAATGCTGATTCTGTTGTAGAAGGCTAAAATTATAAATCTGTATTTACTTATCTTATTCAAAACCACTTTTTAATAACTTCAGAAAACATTTTTTACTCTATAAAAATATTATATTAATAGATAAAATTCGTACTGCAAGATCTGAGGGTGTTTGAACTTTTGGCTTTTTTTTACGTCTTGGTGGTGCAACAGGTATTCCAGTCATAGTAACATCTTCATTTGACTTTCCATTAGTTTTTGTACTAGCGATGACGTCAGGTTCTTGAAGCATAACAGTCTTATCATTTTGTGAGTGAGAAGTATAATTGGACCTAGTGTTAACAGAGGATTCCTGAAGGATATCCCCTGACAACGTAAGGATGCTGGACGACTGGGACACCTTACCAGATGCTGTGTCCTCGTCTTTGCTTGGAATACTAGCAATGGAGGACATCTGGCTTTCACGGGTAAGGATGGCAGAAGAGGGACACTGGGTTACATTTGGTGCAAGTGTAGCAGATACATTGTCCCCAACTCCAGCTAAGATTCGACCGACTCGTCCTAAAGATGTCATACTTTGTAAACTAAGAGTATCGTGTTCTATGATCCTAAATGGATGAGTTGTCTTTGAAGGAGTGGGATAAACACCCTCGATAGATGATGTTTGACTATCTGGAGGGGAACTGTTAATTTGAATGTCATCATCTTCTGTTTGCATACGTTGTCTAAGTTCACGAAACCTTCTTCTGCCTATATTTTTATCTGCACTTGACTCTTTTCCATCTTCCTCCTATTTAAATAAGTGATTTTTGTAAAAAACCAACATGATATTAAAATTATAATTTTCTAATATTAACGTATACTCACATTCTTATCTTTATTAACTATACATTCTATTGTTACATGTTCCTTTGGTTCTACAATTGGTTTAGGTTGAGCAGGTTTCACAAAAACATCATCATCCACTTTTGTAGTAGATTCTGATGTATCCTTATTTTGTATTTCAATGCTGATAGAATCACGTTGTTTACTCTTTCTATAACCAAATACATTATTTGTTATTCTTATGATATAAAACACAGATTATGCTTTAAAATATACTTTAACAAAAATATTAAACTTACTTTTATATTGTAATTTTATCAGTATAATGCTATATACATTAACATTTAAATAATATATAAAAATAAAGATATTTATATAAATAATTTATTTACATTTAAATATATAAAATTATGCAGCCTAAACTTAAAAAAATGTAAATATATCAAAATAAATAAATGATTTATTAAATAAATCAATAATTCTTCAAGTATATAATAGTAGAGTTCTTTCAAACTCTCTAGAATTATAATTTTAACGATTAGATTTTATTAAAAATTTGCAAACGCCAACCCTGAAATAGCTGCATACGATCATACGAACGATTGATGTAAGTACTCAAATTCAAACCTAACCAAAGTTAATTACTTAAGAACGCGATACGACAATAAGGATTACATACCTAAAAATGATCTGAGGCAAATTTCTGCTTGTGTAAAAACTTTGAACAGAATATAACAAATTAAATAGAATAAAAATTGTAAGTTAAACTTTATTACACGTTATTTCTAAGAAATATCCAGATAGTTACAGAATTTATGCAAGAATATTTTTTGCTAAGTATATAAGATATACAAAAAAAATTATGTTTAGGATTTTTAATACAATCATTTAATAGGCAAGAATTGATAAAATTACCGTGCACTATGATGAAAAGTATCATCCTCTGCATCAAAAAATTCTTCAGAATCGCTGCTTCCAGACATTGTCGTCTGCACTGAATGATCGGTAATAATACTCTTGTCCGCATCGGTACTGTCAAGGCACGTCACGCGTTTCGCAAAATCGCGAACACTAGGGCCAGATAGAAGCGGCCACACGATCGCAAGCGGCACGAAGTCATGATTTGACTTCTAATAGCGGTTACACAAGTGCACAGTTTTGTGCTGAATACGCTGGTGCGTATTTCAATTATCCTAGTTCTTTCAAACGTAAATTAGCGATGCGAAAGTGGTAACACTGTTCGAATCCATCCAATAAAGAGGCTGCGTCATGGAAAAGAGTTGTACGATTGGTGAACAACGAATTTGCAGCCTCGAACTCGTGCAGCTGCCCGCTCGCCAGCATGCCTGCTGCAAAGGAGGCGAGCCGTCACACAAAAGCAAGATGGAGGATCTCACAGTCGAAGTATGCGGCGAAAACGGAGCATATTATAAGGTTCGTTCTGTGAAAAGTATACAAAAAACAGGGCGGAAGATTGAGGCCGTGGATAGACCATCTTACGGCCCGTGGTGCGGTTCTAATCTCACAAAAGAGACGCCCGTACTTCGCGAAAGCGCGGCCCTCAAATGTTCGCGAGGTAACGCGGCTTCCTCCGACGCCATGTCTCGTTTGACAGGGCGTGATTTTCGTCAGCTTTTAATGTTGCGATTCATCTCAACATTTTCCCGATTCGCGGAAACGCATTTCCTTAATATCGGAATCATAAAAATATCCGTCTTATGGATACCCCGAAAGCATCACGATATTACATCCGAATGTCTTACGCCACTCGTTATACCTGTGATTCTTGAACGTATGAATTTATACGCTTTATGTTTCATTTTTTCAGGCCTTTGTCACAGATGTCTTTGAGGACGAAGTTCTAGTAACGTTCGAAAATGAGTAAGTTTTCTTTCCACTTTTTAAAAACGGTTTAGATACCAATATATCTGAAGGTTCACCCTAATACTCTGTGCTAATAACAGTGTAGGCTCCTGAGCACAAGAATTATACTATTTTTATCAGCTATAGGAGGTCTAATATTTCTAATACCTATGTCAATAGTTTCAAAAATTGTATGATTTTTATGAGTATTGTTTGTTTCCATTACTTGAGCAGTCATAGTTTTTAGGTTTTTCCATGTGTTACTTTTTTTAAATGTTAATAGTAAAAAGCATCAAATATTTATAAATGTTGCATAGAATATTTAAAATTTTATGTAATAATTATGTAAATTGTTATATTTTCATTATTTCTTTTACATATGAAAACAAATATTTTTATTTTAGATTTTGTATATATCGATATTTATAATATATAGAATATATCAAAGAATTATATTTTACTTGATTATTATTTTAAGGATAAAAATATATAATAGGGATCAGGCAATAGAATATAATCTATAACTGAAATTTATCAAAGAAAACAGTAGTGATAATAATATATTATTTCATGGAATTATAATTTTATAAATTGTATTAATATAATCTATATATAGTATATATTTATATAAATGAACATACTTTTTTTATAAACTATGTACAAATATAATTTGTTTTTGTTAACATTTATTATAATTTAAATATTATATGTTTTATATTTTACAATATTTAAAAATTTAGCAATATTATGTAAGAAATTTATATATAATTTTCAAGTATTATCCAATAAAACATGCTTTATATTTTAGCTGGCAACCAGAATCGAAGTTTCCATTTGCTCAAGTACGTTTACCTCCAACAGATGGTCAGAAACCTGAATTTTCTGAAACCATGGAGATTGAGGTATTTTCTAGGTCCAATGAGCACGAAGCATGCGGGTGGTGGAAGGCAGTCATTAAGGTTAGTAAAATATTTTTATAATATCTTTCAATATTAATATATAAAACATTTACTAAAATGCAAGTTCAATAAATAAAAGTAATTTAGTTTAACAAAAGTTTATGTATTAAATTATTATTTCAGATGAGTAAAGGAGGTTTTCAAGTAGTTGAATATTTGGGATGGGAATGTGCTTATACTGAAATTGTAGGTAGTGAACGACTGAGGGCAAAAAATCCTAATCCCCCCATTGATAAAAATACATTTCACAAGATCGAAATAGAAGTACCTGAAGATCTAAGAGAATTGTAGGTATCATACTTAGGTTGTTATTTTATAAAAAGTTAATCCATATTGATAATGTATACATTATATATAATGTATATTTAATGTATACTTCTTAATGTACATAGTGCCAAAATGGAAAATGCACATAAGGAATTTCAAAAAGCAATAGGGGCAGCAGTGTGCCGATATGTGCCTGAACGAGGAGTATTGCTGGCCATCTCCCGTCATGAAAATTTACATCGTCACAGTGGCATGCTCCAAGAAATGCATTTTAGAAACTTATCACAAAAGGTGAGTTATAAAATTCTATATATTAAAATTGCATAAAATACATTTTATATAGAAGTATATGTAAATTTTATAAAAATATATTTCGATATATTTCATATATTTTACATATGTTGCAGGTATTGCTTTTGAAAAGAACGGAAGAAGCAGCACGTCAACTTGAGTCAACTAAACTTCAAACAATTGGGGGGTAAGTAAACAAATTAGAGTTGGTGTTGCAATTAAAAAAAATCTTGTGACATTTAATACCTGCCCCTATCCATACACTGTCCTGGTTACCATCCTGTCTGTGGTTTGCATTTACTGGCAGAAAAAATTCACAAGATTTCCAATCATTAATTAATATGTTTGCTTCAACATCATATAATTTTTATGAATGTTATGTAGCCACATTACAAATGTTTATTATACATTTCCTTCTAGTTTCCACATACTACAAGTGTGATTGTGTATAAAATATTTAATGAATTTTACATGCAACGTTTTTTAAAGTTCATATACATCTTTGTGTGTTAGTTATCTTATTTTTCATACTTTTGCCAATCACAAAAGCACGATGTGCATATAGTAATAAATCTGCACATAATGTGTTTTTTCATCTGTCTTTAGTGAATGTCACTTTTTACTGACATATTCTTTTGTTTATACCATAATCTTACTTGTCACAAATAGAGTAATGCTATGTTTTTCATTGTCTGCTGATTATAATCATCAGCTCTATGTAATACAATTAGATTAATTTAATTTAATCTACATAATAATATATTTCTATACTAGATATTCTAACTAATCTTACTATCATTGCTGTTTTAGTTTTTGAACCATTATGTTTGTAAGTCAATAAAAATATAGTTTTATAATTGTAAAACAATTTAAGAATTTATAGTTTGAGGTAGGGAGTATTCAATAGCATTTTCAGAATCTAATTTATTAGTTATTGTCATATATAATTAAAATACTTTCCAATAATCAAACTTATATACTGTAAAGTACGGGTTAGATATGCATGTATTTGCAAACTTATATATACATATATACCTATATATACATATTAATTTGAAATATCATATATATAAACTTTTAACTACTCTGTCATGTAGTTGTTTAAATTGATTTGAAATAAATCTCATTCAGTAAAATATTTGTACATTAATATTCATATGAAAAGTCACAAATATCTTTGTAGTTTTAGTTGCTTTACGTGTTTCTGCAGCAAACAATGTCATTATATGTTTCAGCTGTTAATACATGTAATTAGGATAACTTTAAATTTGTTTAAAGTTATCATACTATACTTTTGAACGCTATAATTATTCTTAATAAAATTATATTTTTAGATTGAGGAACACATTCCTCCATACATTCAGATAACGGGTTTGTATAATTTTTTATTGATTGAATAATAACATCTAATGAATCTTAGGAAGTTAGTAGAAATTAGGGAGAAATTGTTTAATAAAGCTAATACTGGACACTAATTCTTTTTAAACAGGTATGTTTATAGACATATAATACATAAAACGAAATGCATAAAATAAATATGCAGTGTTATATACCATTTTGAAATTGCAAGTGTACTAACATATATAAAGCAGTATAGTATTTTAACATTTTTTGTCTCGATATTATTATTATAATACTACGAGTAATTTATTTTTCACAAATATTTTGGAATGTAAATTTGTATAAAATTTCATAAATTTAATAGTAAGGAGCAAACAGACAGAATGGCAGGGACAACGGGATAGGGCCATCTCATGTATGAATTTCCAATGAGTTACACCAAGAGTTTCTTTCTCATTTCAGCAAATTTAGATCTTCAAACTTTATATATCAGCGTGTCTCAGACTTTGAGGCAGGAGTGAAAACAAATTCAAGGTGAGATCACAGCAACGTGGTTTAGATTTAAGTTTAGCTTATTGTATGATAAATCACACAGCTGCATTTTTCAAATGAAAAATGAAACTACACTATAAATGTGCATGCTTCGGCGTTGTGTAGATCATTCACTTAAACTCAAATGCTTTAAGTACACTGACATACAGAATTTATTATTTATTCTTTTCTACTTATTATGTGTTCTGTAGTAAAATTTTGCGTGATTGATAAAATAGTGAACAAATATAAACATGTAGCTGTGATCTGTTTTTCATTTTTTTTTCTCTCTCCTTTTCCTCTTTCTCTTTTCTTTTCTTTTCCTTTTTTTTCTTTTTCTTGTCTTTTTTTCATTTATGTATTTAAATAGAATTTTAAGTTTATCAATTTATATCATATCCAAAATTATATTCTAGCCTGCCAATGTTTGAGAAACACTGATATATTAAATGTTTTGCACAAAATATTGAATAAATGGTGACTCTATCTTATATATATTTCTAAATCTAAATAATTTATCTATAAAATTTCAATCAGGATAAGAATAATATTTCATAATCAATGAGGAATTTTTATACGAAATAATTATCATTTAGGCTGTTATGATATTTTTAGTTTCACTTATATGTGATATTGCTTATTTTACACTTCATCTTCATTTACGAAACATTTACACGATTTATATTATTTTATGATACTTTACAGTATGTAAAATTGACGAAGAAGTTTATTTTACTTATAAAATAAAAGATGTAATAGTAAATATCTTTCTATTATAATTGTTCCTTTTTTTAAATTGAAACGATATTATATTTTTCTATTTATAACTTAAAAATTATACCTATTTTTGTATATTATATTACATTATTTTAGTACAATCGTATCTAAAACTTAATATATTATAATTATTTAATATTGGTTTTCTTATTACTATAATCTGCGAAATTGAATCAAAATCTGTATGAGAAGTCTTTAAATTGTTGAAAGGAGAAAGATTTGGTTACTAAGATTATTCCTTTTTTAAATGATAACTAATGCCTTTAAAAATTTAAGGCAATATAAAATGAAATTGTAATATATTGTAAAATACATTTTCTTTATTTTCATAACAGAAATATGTATGCATGTTTCATATAATAATTTCATTATGGTTTTACTATCTCAAATTAATACCCACATTATATTACTTTTTTAAATAAATCATTTGTTATTACATCAAAATATATCAGTATCTTGTGTGAGTGTATGTATGCGCGCATATTATGTGTTATAATTAAAATTTTCAACATGTATTGCACGTTAAAACTTAAATTCCAATTTGAACTTTACATAATTTGTAGAAACAATTCAAAACTCAAATTAAATAATCTGTTATTAATTTAAAAATGATTTCGATATTTCTTGCTTGAGTATTACTTTATTATAATTTATAATTTACATTATGTGCATTTGGTGTTATCTCATAAATATCTCATAAATCTCATAAATTCTTCTATTACTACTTTTATCTGCCAGGATGCAAGCCACTGACAGGAATTTAAATTCGATTAAAATATATTATATTTATTACCACTGTATTGTAATGTAATAATGTAATATTGCATGTTATTAATGAAAATCTAAATTTTGTTTTGAAATAAAAATTTGATCATACAAGGTTATTAGGATATATTAACAATACTGGTATATATCTATATACATATATAATCAATTATCTGACTGTTGTATTTCTAGTATTAGCTGTTAATCTTAATGAAAAAAGTTGATATTAGCATTTAAATAATATTTATTAATTTAAAATGTCATTAAACTAAAGTATTATTTTGGATTTATCTATAGCAACTTAATATAATTATATTTATACATATTTATTATGAATCCTGTAACTTTTCAGTAGAAAAAAGTGTTTGTTATACATATCTAAGGTTAAATATGTAAAACAAAACTTTACTTTTTAGATACACAGATGAATTTAATGTTCGAGAAGACTTGATGGGCTTAGCAATTGGTGCGCATGGGGTAAATATTCAGCAGGCAAGAAAGGTTGATGGAATTACAAATATAGAATTAGAAGAAAATTCATGCACATTTAAAATTTATGGAGAGGTAAAAATTGAAATAAATATTTATTTTTTGATTATGTTATATGCTTGACAAATAAATTTTAATTTATTCAAGAATTATAGATTATATAATTTTGTATAATGTTTACAAGAAAATTTTTGATGACAAATGCTTATTCAATTACAGACACATGAAGCTGTTAAAAAAGCTCGTTCTTTGCTTGAGTATAGCGAAGAATCTATACAAGTACCACGTGTTTTGGTAGGCAAAGTAATTGGGAAAAATGGTCGCATAATACAAGAAATTGTCGATAAAAGTGGAGTGGTGAGTATCATATTTGTATTATTTAATATTTAGATATTTTGTACATAAATAATTATAAAAATTTCTTATTGTTTTATTTTAATTTTCTTTTAGCAATATTTTTGTATTCAGTTATTGTTATATTATTATTATATGATTACTTTTTGTACACGTTTAGTTTTTCTTACTATCTTTTCAGTAGTTTGTGTATTACTTTTACATTATTTTATATATATATATATGACTTGGTTTTATATTGTACTTTATTTAAATACATTATCTAGTATTAATATGACTAACTTAATTATTTCGTTTCAATAAATGTTAAATCAATTATAATTTAAATTACATTAATCTAATTTTAAAGTATTATAAATAATTGTTTTTATACTTATAGTTTCAATATGATTTACGTTTTATATATTAATCATTTATGTTTATACATTTATCAAAAACAATTTCAATTTCAGATATTGAAAATGAAATTAATTAATATAATTTGTAGATATAGTTATTAAGAATTAATCATTGGATAATGTATGTATACATTACTGTTATAATTATTACTACAATTAACAGAATAATTCTGAATATTACAAATTTTAGGTACGAGTTAAAATAGAAGGAGACAACGAACCTCAGCCAACAATTCCAAGAGAGGAGGGTCAGGTACCCTTTGTATTTGTTGGTACTGTTGAAAGTATTGCTAATGCCAAAATGTTGTTGGAATATCATTTGGCGCATTTAAAGGTAACAACGATATAACAATGTAAAACATGTATATGATGCGTTCATTTTATCTGTTTTATCTGAAAAATAAATATTCTGAGAAATATAGATATAATACAGAAAAATATTTCAAATGATTATCGTATGATGTCATACCATGTTGATATTTATTTAATTATACAATAACCTTGAAAAGCTGCATGCAGGTTGCATTAAAATTTTTATATAAGCACCTATATTTTTTAGTGCAAATATTTACCAATTCTTTTGGACAAAACACTACTGAGATCTGAAGTTTAAAAATTAATAATTTAGAGCTACCATACTGCTTGAAGTCCAATATGCAATCTTCTTGCATTGTATATTAAGTACATCACTGTACTAATAATAACTAAGAAATTTTATATCTCAGTAGTAATCTATGCAAGAAGTAAATAGTATTTTAAAAACAATTCTATATCGGTCATCAAAGTATACAATAGAAAATATACATTTCTTCTTAATACTTCTTATTGCAAACTAAAATAAATGATATATTCTTTTTAATACTATGTGATATTTTTCAATATCATCTATATTTTTCAAAATATGTTTCTAGATAAACAATATGTATATTATATTTCATGTAATATGATTTATTTATATATTGTTTTATAATTGTATATTTTTTTATTTAAAGGAAGTAGAACAGTTACGCCAAGATAAATTAGAAATTGACCAACAATTAAGAAACCTGCATGGATCAACCACAGGACCAATGCCCAACTTTCCTCCAACTAGACGAGGAATGATTACAGGCCCAGAAGAAGGTGGTGGAGGTCGTGGAGGTCGTGGTGGTCAATCTCGCGGACGTGGCAGGGGTAGGGCTCCCACCAGACACAATGCCGGTAATACTATTACTGACTATATCAACAATGTAGAGAACACACAAAAACGTAATGGCAGAAGCGGTGGACCCAACACGAGAGACAGTAGAGAACCCAGAGATTTTAAAGACAGAGGGCGTGTTGTCACAAAGTAACATTTGATAAATTGTTGAAATTAAATCAGTGCTAGAATTATTATTATACAAGGTTTATAGTAGAAACTCATTTATTCGGATTTGGTGGGATGACTATTTAATCTGAATAAACGAAAGTCTGAATTATCTGATATTCCCGCTATCATATTCCTAATTTATTCAAAGCTCAATACAGTGCAAATATATCTTTTCGTGTAACATACGTAACTTATCATGCATAATTTACTTGGTCTTTATCATACAATAAACTGTGTATTTTTAATAATATATAGAAAAATTGTATGTATTTAAATATTTCTTTACACCTAAAAGTTGGATGACGAAATAAATTACATATATAACTCTATATTGAAGAATGTCACTTAGAAAAATATTCTTTTTTTTTTTTTTTTATAACGTTGATATTTTCTGAAATATTATTTTCGTTTTATCCGTTGTGCTTAATAAATGAAATAATTTATCGTTAGGGATTCGGATAAACGAGTTTTTACTGTAATTCATTCTTGGAAATACTCATTAAATAATATATTTACAAGATCCTTTACAACATTTAACAAATTAAAAGCTTACAAATTTGTAAATGTATCAATATAAACATGAAAAATATTGATCAAGACATATACAAAAAGAATCATTTTTTTCTTAATGTATTAATTTATTCATGAATTTTATTATTACTGACGTCAAAATGATTCATCTATTCAAATCAAATTTGACTTTTATTAATATCTTTTTATAGTCGTTAGTATCTTTCATTATTTGATTATATAGATTTGAAGCTGCATTTGTTATAAAACCGTTTCAGCTATTTAGTTTTTCATCGTACATCGTTATTCGTAATTCATTGTTTTCGTCATTATTACTTTATACTGCCTCAGTTAATATCTATAGACATATTAACAATTCGCATTTGTAAACATGTCATTACATAGAACATGGAATTATAAAGTAATAGAAAGTAATTGCAGTCATATGCGTTTGCATATGTGTTTAATGAAAATGCATGTAGTAGCTAAGCAATTCATGGTGTGTGATTCATTTGATTTATTGATTATTTGAAAAATAAATAAAATATATAATTTTGTTTTGTGTGCGAATTGTCTAATCACATATTATATCCTAAGAGTTAATTTTCATAAATTAACAAATATTCCGCGTCAAATTTATGACATGTACCTATATAACAACTTTTGAATCTTTCATTTAACTAAATAATACATTAAATGTAATTAACTGCTTTTTAAACGTTAACAAAATTAAGTGTTGTCTTAACTATATAGGTCGTTTTCAAGTTGATAAATAAGAAATTAAAAAGCAATTATGTTATTATTTTTATTAAAAATGTACTTATATACGTTTTGTAATAAAATTTACCTTGTAAAATACTCCACGTGAATCTGATTTTTAACTTATAAAATATTAGGTAGTAACAATCACATGGATTTTACACATATTTTTAATTACATTAATGTAATTCAATAAAACTATCTTTTGTGATTTAATACTACACATTAATGTGTCAATTTTCATTTAAATTTGTATGAGTTTATGCAAATATAAATATTTAACGGTAGAAGAAGAAATTAAAAAATTAATGAGCTTGATTCCAAAGATGCCTCTTCACTCCCAATTAATACCCTTAATTGTTATAACGGGAAGCATCATTGCTAATGTGTTAAATGCTACATTGATCATCATCAGCTACAAGTAAGGATACTAATCTTTCATCGTTTCATTTGATTTACAAAATCATTAAAATGTTTGTGTTCATCATGTTATGTTCAAATTTTAACTTGATTTTTGTTATAAATATGATTTAATTTACAGGATTACGTCGAGACACCTTAGATGGTAATGAAGACCGAGTAAGGGATCTACCTCCAAGAGGTGGTCATCAAGGTGGTGCAGGCAATTCAGGGTACATGGGTGGTAGACAAGGTCGTCCTCCAACTCAACGTAGAGATCGTAGAGATGAACGTCGTCGAACAACTGATGATGAAGATACTGTTCTCGATAGTCAAGATGTTTCAAGCATTGATAGAGGTAACAATATTCTCCCGAAAATATTTTACAGTAGAACAGCCGTTTCGTCCTAAAGATTGGTAAAGTCCTTTGAGAGTGGCATGGATTGTGAAACAAACACTTGTGACCGTCTAACACTAACAACATCAATGATGATTACTAATGCACGCTACTAACGTATGCGATGTAGCTTTTTATATAATCAGTTATAAAGATATTTGAATTTCAGTAATGCTTTTTCATTATGTTATAAAAAGATGGTCACAATGGTTTGCGTATGCATAGAGTCTGTATCAAGTGTGGAGGGAGGACCTAAAGGCATGAGGCGAAGGCGGCTTCGACGGTCTCGACAACGTAGTTCTACGCCAACAAATAGCCAAAAAGGTAATCATGTGAAATTGAAAAACTTAATTCAACATGACATTGCTTTAGGACGATCGGTTTTGATATAGTATAGAAAATAAGCACAATGTTAAATATGTTTCAGAATGAATATTGATGTTTATACAGTAACATTCAGAATTAATCTATATATTTGTTTAGGCAGCAATGCCGGCCCAGGAGATCAATCAACTGTAACCAGTAAAGAAGGAACACCAGCAAATGACGTTTCTACTACTAACAACAGTTCCCAAGGGCCTAAAGGCCAAAGAGAATTACGGTCTCGTCATCCTCGTATGCAACAGAGCAATAAGCCTAAGGAAGCTCTGGTTAATGGTACCAGTGGCTAAATAACCATTATGGTCGACAACTGCTACTTACGTATAACACTACACCTGATGAGAGCTATTAACACCCAGCACATAACATGACGCATACCTACGCAAGGACTACACGATTATGGATCGCGACATGATTAGTCTACGCTCGTTGTTAAGACTGTTTGCTACCGATAAGAATACAACAGTTGTTTAAGAAATCGTCATTCTCCTTAAACACATTTAAGGACACATATTAATATCCATGCATGGTTTAGTTTAATGATAGTGATTATGCTATCATGTTTGATATATGGATACATTCATTGGGAGATAGTAGAAGCATCTGCTAAAAAAGGAATCCCCTGATTGTGAAACTGTGCCTCATTTTTATACCAAGCTCCCAACTCGTGTGACAGTAATTCGGATGTACTATAAAGTACCTCTTAATCACTTGAGAAATGATCTAATAATAGGCTGGATATTCGTGGCTCGTATGTCAATTATCAATTCGAATAATTTTCGTCTAGATATGTCGCTGTATTTATGAAAAAATAACACAATACGTACAAAAATGCAGAATGTAATTAATTTCAATGTTTTTATCATTTTTATTAGTTTTCCTTCACTGCAACAATTATAATTAAAAATTTGAAAATATTTTAACATGTATTACAAATGAAAGTACGCGATTTGTGTTATTTTATATTCATATTAAAAAAAAAGAAAATAATAATTGAACATACCGGGTATAAACTATGTTGCGACAAAACTAGGACGAAACATGATGTGATGCAAGAAAAAGATGGATTCCATTGTTAATTATAACAATGGTAGGTGGCAGCTGCATGAAGTCTTGGTTAAGTGTTCCCAATGATGTTCCTTCTATTTACTTCACAAGATTGAGTTTTTTTTTTTTTTTTGATTTACAATTATTAGTAGAGTTATTTAACAACACTAGATTTTTATGTTTCAATTCTGAGTGTTGATTAATAATACCATGATGAATGCTAAAATGACTTATTTGATTGTGAAAAAAAAAAAAACAGATGGGTGTACACAAGAAGTCGGTTTTTATTTCCGGGTTCACTTTTCATGTAATTTAGTCTTTTTTTTATTACAGTCTAAGCATACTATATCAAATATTAGGATTTGATATGACGTTCGTTTCTGCATTGTTTCGCATGATTTAAAAAGAAAGTAAACGTATACTTAGTAATACCAATGTATGATGTGCCAGAGAAGGAATGATACGTTTTATGATATCTAGCTGAAGTGCAGACTTAGCGCATACCTTTATTACTATAATACTACTTAGTCGAAATGTGAATGTCTGAAAAAATAAACTAGCTTTACTATACTAAGCTATAAAATAGATATGGTTAACTGTTTTAAATTGATTAACAGTGAACATGAAACATTATCTGTCAATTTAAAACAGTTCTCCTCTTCTTCCGGATATGACAACTAATCGGACGTGTCTTATGGATTTTGCAAAAACGCATGGCGATTGATGCAACACATTGACACCTAACAAAACAGCTGCCATTTTATCTGAATATTCTTATGGCAGCAAAAAAAAAAAAAAAAAAAAACCCAACTTGCTTGTTTCAGATACATTTGTATTGATTGCAATTTGTGCATAATTTAAGAATAAAACATTTCTGTACATAGAGCGGTCATTAGTACGATGAACCACAATTGTTTCGAAACATTGATAATCGTTTTTTAATCTTAACAGTCGTTTTAAACTACAATCTTCATCCCTATCCTTAACTTCCATAACATATCTATTATTAAAAGTGATTACAGTTACGCTTAATTTTTGTTATGGAGCTTTTAAAATATTTATAGTTTGAAAATGTTAACACTTAATTACTAATTTTATTTATAATTACAAAAAATACTAAGAAACATTAAAAATACATAAAATAATTTCTACAACATTTTAAAGTACTAAATAATATCGTTTAATTTACCAATTTCACAATTTTTACAGTTACTTGATTAAATGAAAATTTTGAATAGAAGTAAATAAAACTACATCTCTATTAATTTATTTCGATTTTGTGTATATTTACTATTGAAGAAATCACCTAACTCAAATTTTTAATTCCATAGAATGCGTAAAAATCAAAATATGTTCTCATAACACTTTTCAAAGTATTGCTATTATTAATACAAAGTAAATAATTGTAATTATTCCTTGCTTCTATGAAAGAAATAAAAATATTTTTCTTTAACATTAAGTAATTACGTTTAACGTAGTTGCACGTGATATAAAATTTTGGTTGCGATAGTTGTGAAAATTTATTTGTGGTCACAACATACGCATAATTTTCATATATGGCCAGTGTAAATTACAAATAAATAAAATGATATTTGCAAGTACAAAACAATAACAAGTTTATTATGTTATTATAAATTTTCATTTCTAAGTTTACAAATACGATATAAACTAAACAAAAAATAAAATTCTTAAAATATATTAAAGACTATTGATCATATATTTTATATTACTTGATTATAGAGAATAATATTTCAATGTTTGAAATTTACACGAGGTATTGTAACTTAAAGAACTTAAATGTAATATTAGGAATAATAAATCAACAATTCAAATAAAAATAACAATAATGAAAATCGTAAACTATATAATGTAAATTAGATTATCAATCTTATCATGCATTATATGATATGATATATAGAAGCTATTATTCATATAACAGTTTTCTATGTGCGTATAGATAAACATGTAATATATTCTTTTAAATAATAGTTAAAAAATATAGAATTAATATTAATACTTAACAATAAAATTTAATATTCAGATAAATTCTTTTGTCTATACAAGTAACTGTTTTGAAATATCAAATGAATACCAATTAGTAAATAATATAAAATAATTACTAATTAAAATTAAAGGAAATTTAAAAAAAATTGTAGAAATGATGTTTTTTTTCAAAAATATTTGATTTGAAATAAGTTGTTTTAATTAATATAATAAGCATTTATACTTACACATACCATTAATATTAAAGAAAGAACCCCTTAATTATTTTTGTTTACTACTTGCTTTTTATTTTGATTACATTCATAAAAATATACTAATAATTAAAGTACCGTATACAATACATACTATTTCATGCAAATAATATTAATTTGACATGATGTTTTTGATTTGAACGCTGTTATATTAAATATTTTCGTATAGTGGCGCTGTATATGCATTCCTG